TCCTACAATCTAATCACCTCTCCAAGGCTCCACCTTTCAATTACCATAATAGGATTTCCCAATCTCAACAGTTACACTGGGGATTAAGCTTCAATGAGGTTAGGAGGGCATCCAATCTACAGCAACTACCTGTAACAAAACTAGCCCTCGTAAATTTATAAGAGGCTTAAAAAGTTTCCTACCAGGTAAATTTGAATTAAAGATGATACTAACACTATAAGCACAGGCCAGCTTCAAGGCGACAGAGCTAACAATTCTAGTATGAGCTCTTGGTCAGCTATGTAACAAGGTAAAAACAGTTAACAGTCTAATGATATTTGATAAGGAGTAACTAAAAAATCTTGGAAAGTATTAGAAGATCCGTTGGAAAATAGATTTATCTTTACTATCATTAACAATGAACTCTGACTAAGTGAATATCATGCCTTGAGCTGGTAACCAGGATTGGAAAGTAACCATTGCAGCTAGCAAGGTATTTTAATACTAAGCATTCAGAACATAAAAACAAACTTTGACTTTTTTTAAAGACATATTTAAAGTTATGTGATACTCAATCCGTACTTGTATTAATTTCATGAACTTAGTGATAGATGGTTAGAAGCCTCTTTTGAGATTTCTTCCTGAGTAGCTGAAGACTTAGTAGGGAAACAGCAAGGTGTATGTGGCACGTTGACCTGCCACATCCTGATTTTCATCATGTGCTACTGTATTTCATCTCCTTCTCCAAAGAACTGGAGTTGGCCCCAATTTTTCAACTTGTGATTTTTTTTTTTTAGAAAAATAACAGTTTCTCCAAATGAATGAGCACTTTCTCCACTAGGTGAGGTGAATAATTCACACAGCTCTGAAAGTACTATGACATAGCAAGTTCAAAAAAAGAAGAAAAAGCAAGCAAGCACGCCTCTGAAAACCTCCTAATTCCACATTCTAGAAATAAATTTAACATCTTATAATTAATAGTGCCATGACAGCAAATCTGGTACCTCGCCCCCAGCACCCCAGGCAGGCTCACCACCTTCATGTCACCCCATAGATTAATTTGCTGTTAGCTACCTACTTCCCCACACTCTCTGACTGTCCATCTCCAGGCAGCATATCTCCATCTATGTCCCTTCCTCTTTCCTTCCCTGACTAGGTGGCTTTCTATAATAATTTGTGTCATACCTTACAGCTTTTAAAGAATTTTCACTTTTATTATCCCCTTTAAACTTCATATCAGCCCTGTAAAGTGGTTGTTCTTTGCATTCTACAAATTAAGATGCAGAAGCTCAGCAATATTAAATGCTTCTGTGCCAATCACATGATCAGTAGATGGCAGCGCCCAGCTCCAAACCCCACACTTTCACAACGTAATACTGCTCCAGGTAGTGGTTCTTACAGCTCAGTGTGCCTAATGCTCCCGAGAGTATCTGTTAAAAATGTAAGTTTCTGGGCCTGACCTCCAGAGATTGTTTTAGGGTCTGAAATAGGGAAAACCTGCCTGAATTTCTAACAAACAACCCCACCCCCCACCCCCAGGTGCTTCTGAAACAGGAGATTGGCAACCAATCACCTGTATATTCAAAAATACACAGGCCTAGGAGACAGCTACCGTGCCTGGCATGAGCCAGGCATAAGTGACCGTGAGGCTCTCTGCTTATTTGAGCTGCCTAGAGGGTAATGGAGTGACATGGATCTTCTTCAAGGAATTGCCCATATAAACAAGGTCCTTTCTTATATGGAAGCAGTTTGGAAACAGAAAGGAAGGAAGACAGTAGGGAAGGAGAGAAAGACCTAGACACATTCCATTCCACAGAAAATAATCCTGCCCTTAACTACTAGCCATAATCTCAACTACCCTACCTTGGGCCCTTGTTTTTGAATCCCTTAAGCATTTGGGACTTGGACATTGGTTCCTGCAAAGGGGAGTAAGTCTCTGCACGGCTTCTGGAGGCGGGAGGACTGGAGCTGGGCTCTTCGTTTTACAGGGGTGCACAGGAGGTGAAGTGCCTGACCAGTGAGTCACAGGTAAAGCCAACATCAGAGTGCAGGATCGCCAGGTTCCCAGGCCTGCACGGGGCTGAGTCATGCAGCATCCCCAGCCCAGAAGTGTGAGAACAGTGGTGGCATTCCACAAGGCCCAGCAGAAGCCAAGGGTCATAAAGCTACGCAAACTTTCTGCACAACAGACCAAGCACTCTTTTTACCAAGAGGATGCCACTGTGGTTTAAATCGGACGTGGAGGACAAGCCAGGAAAGTTGAAAACGTAAAATACACATGGAGATGGTTTGAGTATAAAGAAAAATGTTCCCTTCGCAAACGTGCTATGCTTATTCTGCAGCTAGGAGAGATAAAATGAGATTTCGGTGGGAAGTGTGTGTTGCATGTTTTGGTGGCCTTAAAGAAAAACACACATCTGTGCTAAAGATAAAAATTAATCATATTCTGTAAAGCCAACTCTATGACTACAAAAGAGGCGATTCCGTTGAGACAGGGTGAAAGGCGGACATCAGGCAGAACTTTTGAAAGGATTCCAGCAGGTGGGACTTGGGGGTACTCGGTCCTGCTGTGTGATGGGAACCCTTCTCTATGCCTGCTCTGTGTGTGGGAGCCTGTCCTGCAAAGAGGATGTGATGTCACCACGTGACTGTCCAGAGATGGGGTTGATTCACTAGATCGCTTTTCTCTGGCATAAGCAGGGCTGAGCAGGGTGATGGGCTTATGGAAGACAACTCAGAGCTGTCTTCTCCCCTCCAAACAAGTCCATGCCTGGGTCTGTGCGTGACGCACCATCATGCGCTGTTGCACTACATGTCGGTGCCAGCCAACTGCTGGCGAGTGACATGCCCCTGGGAAGACTTCCACATTGAAGGGTATTTCATGTCTCTGCCACCCTCCTTCCCGGCTGCAGTGTGTTGCTTATCAGAAACTGCCTGTCTGTTAATGCTCTGAGGGTCACCACACCCCCTGCCTCCTGCTTCTCTGCCCTGACCTCGAGGCATGTGGCTCAGTCTCTCTGGGTGGCCATCCTGACACGCGTGGCTGAGTGAGTTGGTACTTCAGTTCTCCATTTGGATTTCACCTTGGGGAAATCTCAGGTCACTCTGGAAAAACTTTATCCTGGGAAACTACTGAAGGAAGAAATGGCCTCCATTACTACCATTGCTGTAGTTATCTTTCATAAACCCTTCCATAAGTGACGATTCCTAACCATTCACTACTTGTTTTTAATGGGATGGCCACATATTAACTATCTAAACAGGGACACTTCTGAGAGTCAAAGGGAGATCTATTAATAATTATGCTGGGACCGCAAGTGCAGGCTGGGACTACCCTGGGCAAACCAGGACATAGGGTCAACCTGCTTGTGAAGTAGGTGACGGGAACAAAGAAGACACATGAAGCAGAGTCTCAGCTGATCCCAGCTGACAGAAAACAGGAGCAAAAAATAACTTTTATTGTTGTAAACCACTGAGATGGGAGATTTTGTTATCACAACATAACCTAGCAAAAGCTGACTAGTACACCCCATACTGCTGTCTAACTTCTCTGTTACCACCTCTGTAGAATGGGGGTAACTAATAGTTCCCACATCATTGGGAGGTGTGAGGATCCAGGGAGTCAATCTATGTAGAGCACTTACAACAGTGCCTGGCACAAACTAACAGTCAAATGGTAGCTACTCTCATTCATTCTAATAGTAACATAAGAGAATAAAAGAAACTCTAAGAACCCAGTGAAGCCAGATTTCCAGCAGAACAAGTGACTCATGGATGGCAGGAAAGACCACCACCCCTGCACCCACCCCACCGGCTATTTGCCCTTTAAGAGACCCTGAGTCCCGGGACCCCTCTCTTCCTTTTCTCCTAGTGCTTTAACCCCACAGAACATCCTTACAGCTTCTTTTTTGCAGACTCCTTGGCTCCCTCATATTCCTTCCGTCTCACCCGCATGACAAACCCTTAACCCCGAATCCATGCAGCGATCTACCACTTTTGCTCCTGAGCCTGGGTGACTGAACAAACCCCCCCAGGGTTTCTTGAAAATCCTCACATTTCGCTACTCTTTCTCCTATTTCCTGGAAGAGATACTTCAAAATTTTATCATTCTTTTCAAGCTCTATAACCTGCTACGTTTCTCCCCAAATGACATTACAGGCCACTAGGCAGGGACTCGATAAATTGGCTCACTGTTCCTACCTAAAGCCAGTCCCTTTTTTTTTTGTTTTGCTCTGGAGACTGGCCCCTCCCACCTTCTTGGTGTCTTCAACTTCTCTGCGGGTTTTTAGTTTTTAGCATATAAACATGCTTGTACCTGTCCCGTCCTCCAAAAATCACTCCCTCAACCTGCTGTCTCTCTTCTCTTCTCTTCTCTTGGGAGAGGTCCCCAATGAACCCTTCGTTGCTAACACGTCTGGGCATTTTTCCATCTTTGATCCAGCTCATCTCTCTATGACGTGACATGGCTGCTATCTCGCTTCCTTGTGACTCTCTCCTATGTTGGCTTCTAAGATGCTTCTCTCTGGCTTTCCTTCCTCTCAGTCTCCACCTTCCAGTCTCTTTTTGCGGCTCTTTTTCCTCTGCCCTCCCTTAAATGCTAATGTTCCCCCTGGTTCTGTTTTTGACCCTCTTTCCGAGGCATTTACTACTACTTATATGCTGAGAACTGCCAAATCCAGGTCTCCCTTCTACTTACCCAGTTGATTATTGAATGTCTCCCCGGGGTGTCCCAAGATGTCCACAATCAAAGTCATCATTCTGCTTACCAACCCCCCACCTGCTCCTTGGGTTTCTTATCTAAATGAGTGGCACTATTACTATACTTACCCATTGTCCCAGCCGGAAACCTGGAATCCATGCTTGACTCTTCCCAATCCATCTCCCACCAACCAAATAGCCTACCAACTGGTCTCTCCTCACTTCTAGTCTTGAACCTTTAAATCCATCTTCCATGCTGCTTACAAGTGAGCTCTTTTTCTCTATGATCTTCAGAACTGTACAAACTCTAACGCTAAGAGCTGAACTCTACACCTAAGTCAATATCCGTAATGATACAGCTCCTGTCTGCCACACCAATTCTATCTCTCGTCATGTCCCCCAAATCTCCTATACGCCAAACGTACTGAACTATTTTCAATTCCTAGATTGTTCCAGGATTCATGATACCTTGGGTTATTGTACCTGCTGCTCGCCTGCTGAAATGCCCTGTGCTCTGGTGCCCATTTAGTAAACTACTTCTCCTTTTGAAGACAGGTACTGCCTGTTCTGGGAAGCCTTCTCTACTTATGAGCACACTTCATGTCCGAGAAAGCTCCTTCTCTCCCAAAACTGAGTTAGCTGCCTCTCTTATGCACGTCCACAGTATCCTGAATGTGCCCCTATCTGAAATGTGGTTGCTGCACCTTATCTGATGATCCTCATTAAATGTTTCATGAATAAATGGAAAATGACAAACAGTCTCTTGGGTAGCAGCCTCCTCTCTTGGGGGCAAGACTGCATGCCTATGAGGCAGAATCACAAGCAATCTTGTATGTACACGCACATAGTGGTGAAGCCATCTTTAAACAGAGATGTGTGTGTGTGTGTGTTGTATAAAAGAATATACAGGTTATGGAAGATTATTTTCCTCTTTGCTTGTAAGTCCCCGTGTATTTTCCCATTATGATTCCACGTGCTCAGATAACTTTATCTGCTTCATTCAGTATCTGCACCTCCTTGCACACCAACAAATTTCTCAATATTCTTACTCAATATTCAAAACAATATTCCCATTCATGAAAGATACCCTGAATAAGTCAGAATTTTAAAGGGCAGGAGAAAATTGCCACTACCTTACATTATCAATTTCCAGTCAGACTTTTTTTTTTTCCTTCACATGCTCATTAATAGAAGGGACTTCTATTATTTTTTAAAGAGAATTCATACAGACATTGATTGTACAGAACCATTTCTCGGTGCTCTTTTCTTTCCATTCAAGAAACTAGAATACCTCCTGATGAGGAAGATAATGCCAAACAAGACTGCTAGTTCATTATTCAGGATACAAGTACACACTGACTCATTCGACACTTTATTGAATGCAAAGTAAGATGCAGCATCTTGGCTTTCGTTGTCCACAGCTGAAGCAGGATTCTAGGCAGGGGAAGAGTGCACAGTTTTCCTTGGTGGGGAAGATGTGCGACCGTCGTCATGTCGTGCTGTGGGAGATCAGCCCATGTTCTGGCGGTTGCCATAGCCCCTAGGATGGGCGTCCTTCCAGTCATCCCACTCCCGCGCTCTGTGGAGCGTTTGCTCATCATCCTCTTCCTCCTTTTGTTCTTGATCGTCCTGGGCTGCTCTTTTTAATTCTGGTGCCGCCTCAGCTATTCCCTGATCTGGCAATGTTCCATATTTCTGATGCTGATCATACCACTCACTCACTGTCATAGAAGCCACACTTGGATAACCAGCTCCAAATACCTTGGCTTGGGCTGCGTTCCGAGTGAGAATAAAGGGCTTCACTGCCGGCCTCTCCTGACGAGATGAATGAGAAGCTGAGGCCTCTCTTGAAGAGTCTCTTTCTCTCAGGATCTTTATCTCCTGGTCAATGCTCTCGATCTCCTCTAAGCTGAGGCCAACCCACCTCCGAAGGTGAAGGAGGTGATATTCACGAACATGCTCATCATCGGCTTGACCACTTTCCACAGCAGTTTTCAGTGCAGACAACCTTTGCTCCACCTCCTTCTTCTGCTTGTATCTCTCTATTTTAGCCTGTCTTTGAGATGCCATAGCAACAAGGCTAGGATAGGCCACAGAGGAACTAGCAGCGTTATTTTCAGCTGAGTTGTTCTTGGTTTGGGGCAGCTCAAACTTTGCCACCTGATAGTAATGGCACTGAGTTAAGTAGTTCATAAAATGTTCTCGAGCCCACTGCAAATGATCTAGACGCTTGCTGGGGTTGACTTGTTTCAGGGTGAGAACTCCTTGAAATGCTGGCACCATCAGGTACTTGAGGTCGGTGGAAGCAATCTCTTCCAAATCTTCATTTCGGCTGAACAAGTCGAGCTCTGATAACATTTCGGCAGCCTTCTCAAGGAGGTCCAGTCCCTTTGACACCTTATCCTGGACTATCCGGGAACCGGTGGGTTCAGTCACTACTTCCATTTCATCCAGGAGCTGCTTGCTGGTTTCGAACAGCTCGGGGAGCCGTGGCAGCAGTAATTCGTCTTCAGCAGCTGCCATCTTGTGGGGGAGCTTCAGTCTTCTTTTCTCTAGACTCACAATGATCTCAAGTCCTTTCCTATTCCATACATGGTAACATGCTGGATCAGCAAATTCAGAGTTTTACAAGAAGCTGTTATAATCTCAAATGAGATTTATAATTGGCACTCATAAGGACTCAATCATTAATATTCATTTCAATAACTCTCCTTCCACATTCAGATTGCTGAAGTGTTTGTGGTTTAAAACATAAGCCTTCATTATAATAAGCTATTCGCTCTCAGTTTGTGGTCCTTTTGCCCCCTCTCAAGATCTTTATATGCCAAACCTTGGGACATTACAGTCATTCCTCATTTTGTCATTCTATTTGAAAGTAATGTGGGTTTTATTGTAGCAAAAAAACAACAACCCACTTTAGTGTTAAAATGTTTTAAGAACAGTTTTCAAGTAATTAGCAATTTGTCATTCCATAAGACTAGACATACTAAATAAATTATCTCTAAAAAGCAAAATATCTTGAAATACTCATGTCGCAAGGCACTAAACATCAGATATAGGAATTACAAGATAAAATGTAACATTAACAAGGAAAAGCAATTTTTTAAAAAATTGTCCTTTTGAGGAGAAATTTAGTCTTTAGAACACTTAATTGTCATCTACCACCATCATTGTTATATAGTCCTTGTAATGAATTACATTTGATTCTGGGTCAATCGCAGCAGACAACATTTCTTCCATTTCCTCTTGAGAAAAAGGCTCACCTGGGAGGAACAAGAAAGGGATTCATCATTTGCAATCATCTGATTTCTTTTTATTTCTCTTTCCACTGGCCAGTGTCACTGTGGTGGTGCCCCAGATGCCCCCACCGTGACTAGTTACTCTCCCCGGAGCTGTCCAGCCAGCACCTCATGACAGTCCAGAGGCTCAAAGGGCACACTCTTGCACACCTTGGCAGATTCTGGACTCGTTTTTACCCTGCAGATATCACAGATCAAACGACATATACAATCCATCACTTCTGCCAAAACATCAGAAAGATGTAAAGGCGGGCCGGCCCGGTGGCACACTGCTACAGTGCGCCGCTTGGGAGCGCGGTGGTGCGCTCCTGCCGAGGGTTCGGATCCCACATACAGACCGGTTCCCGCTCACTGGCTGAGCGAGGTGCGGGCGCAACACCGAGGGTTGTGATCCCGTTGCTGGTCCCGGTCCGGTACGGGCGCGACACTGAGGGTTGCGATCCGTTGCCGGACACGAAAAAAGACAAAAAGGAAAAAAAAAAAAAAGAAAGAAAGATGTAAAGACATCATGAACAATGTTGTTTATTTATTTAAATTAAAGCTATTGAAATTACCAAAGAATTAGCCTGAAGCCTCCATCCTGGAAAGATGTAAAGACATCATGAACAATGTTATTTATTTATTTAAATTAAAGCTATTGAAATTACCAAAGAATTAGCCTGAAGCCTCCATCCTGCAGGGATTCTAATCATTATGTTCAGTAAGAGTATAAAGAGATGATTAAATCGCTGCCATGCAAAATTGCTGAAAAGCAGATAACAGAGACTTGAAACTGTAACGATTTTATCTCTGAATATTTCCCAACCAGGTCTGGCCAACTTAGTGATGCCAGCTGAACCCAGTGAGAGATATTCATCGACTGTTTCAACTATAACAAAATTTGTTATAGTTTGGCCCAGTGTTGGTGTCCAATGAAACCAAAAGTTGGATAGAAAAATCTCTGGACTTTAGTTGGATTGGTCTCACCAAGGTGAGAAGCAAACTCAGGAAAAATGTTGAAAAGGCTGTAGACTATTTAAGACAGAACTTTGTCCTGACATTAAACAAAAATACAGAAACATCCAAATCACCATCTTATCCCTAAAGAGTTTTAACCAAGTAAGTCAGTTACCAAGGCCCGAGGCTTACCTACCATATGAGCTTAATCACCTGCCACTACGAAAAATGCTTTCTAAGATGAAATTCAGTTACAAATACAAAAATTATTCAAAGAGGGATTTTGATGACAATGAAGACAGTACTATCCAACAAGGGAAATGTGCAGAGTTCTTTTGAAACCATGCTTACATCCTAAAAAAAGAAAGAATGCCAAAAATGCTAAAAAGAAATTCTGAATCTTTCTTACATCTGATTGTTAAATACTAATACAATGCCAAATGACTTACTTTTAACATTGAGTCCTTAAAAGAATACTAATAACAAACATTTATTGAGAACTACTGTGTGCCAGGCACTGATTTAAGTACTTCACATATATTAACTAAGTTAACCTCCCAACTGCCTCAGGAGTGATAAGAACTGGTATTATCCCCACTTATAGCTGAAGACACCAGTACACAGAGAAACAAGGCAGCCTGCCCTCACTAGCAAATAGAGGAACTGGGGTCTGAATGCCAGCAGTCCACCTCATGGTCCGTAAGCTGAATTACCACACCCTACTGCTTAGAACAAGACCTTGCTCACAGTAAAATACAGAAGGTAGTTACACCGCTTCCTTGGCCAAGAAAAGAAATGTGCCATTTTGATTAAGGATGAGCAGAAGATAGCTTAATGGGTAAAACCATAAGCTTGGGATCCAGACTACATGGGTGCAAATGCTGGCTGTCTCTTACCACTGGTAAGATCTTGGACAAGTCACTTAACTGCTCTGTGCCTCAGTTTTCCTGTTTATAAAATGGAGATGATAATAATACTACCTATTGCATAGGCTTGTTAGGAGGATTAAATGTGTTATTATTTGAATAGCACTTAGAACAGTACCTGGCACATAAACAGCAACATGTAAATGTTTGTTTAAAACATTTTTTTGAAATCTTCCCTGATGCTAAATACTGTCTGATGCAATACACATTCCTAGACACATGGACCTCTGTCTTGTAGGAACTTGATTCAATGTGATTTATTATGTTTATTATATGATATCCTGGGCATTTAGAATGCATACTCTCAAACTGATTAATGTGTCTGATGCTCTGTGGATATTGTGAAAAAAACTGTGCAAATAACTTTAAGCACCAATTCTTAAGCAACTATTTTACCAGACTAGCCAACCGTTATACTTAACTGATGGGTCTGTTACATTTAATAATAATACCTTAGTTTGTATAGTACTTTACATCTTACATATCACTATCAAACATATTAGCTCACATAATGTGAAAGATATTTAATATTTGTTGAATGAATAATTGAAACCATGTGTACTCTTATCTGAAAATAATCATTCTATGTTTAGTCCACTGAGATACCCAACAGTTAACTTTTAAGTACCATTAACTCTGAAAATATAGCTTTTTGGAAATTATCACAAAGCACCTCTAAGAAAACCACATGATTGCACCCTCTCTGTACACACTGCAGTCTCTTCCTGATTGCCTTATTTTAGTTAGTAGCATTATCATAGTACCCATCATGCAAGTCAAAGCCTTGTCACTTTTGACTCTGCTCCCATCTTTGTCCCCTGCTCTCTGTTACTCAGCATGACCCATGGATCCTGCCATAGAGGGTCCTTTCCCTTCTTGCCATTACCAGGGCAGGCCCTTATTAGGGTACCTTCACAATGGTGAAACAGCCTTCTAACTGGTCTACGTAGCCTAACCGCTTTCTCACTCATCTAACTAACCTACCAGCACTAGAGTAACCTTTCCACGATCAGTCTTAGACTGTGTGACTCACCTTCTCAAAACCCTATAATATTTCTCCGTTGCCCATGGGATGAATTCCCAACTCCTGAGCCCAGGCCTCCACAATGTAGACCCAGTAAATCTACCTAAATTAATTTCCTACTGTTTGCCAACATGACTCTCTTTTGAAACACCACCACTCATTCCTACCTTCCGGTTTTTGTTCACAGTGTTTTGCACATTTGTGTGTCTCCCTCTCATCATCCCCTTCACCCATTCCTCATTCATCTGCTCATTCATTCATTCATTCAACAGATGGCTTTCAGATCTCCGTGTGAGGGTACTGTAATGCGTAAGATTTTACCTCTGCCCTCAACAACTCACCTGTGTAAATTCTACCATCTGAAGGAAACTATTTTCCCTTTAAGTCTTCCCAGACCAAGCTTTCCAGGCTCGTCCAGCCAGGATATTTATTTTTCTGTTGTCTTACATTATGAATCGTTTTATAAGTTAGTTTTATTTCCCCCAATACGATTGTAATAACCTTAAGAGTGGGAGCAGATTTCAGTATCATTACACCTTACTACACTTACTAAATACTAAACACACAGTGGGCACATGATATTAATGAAACTGGACTGTTCTGGGCCATTTTGACTAAATTCACCTTGCCTGATATAATCCAGGATTTACATCCTTTAAACTAATCCTTAGGATTAAGAGGCTAATGCTTTGAAAGTCTAAACATTCCCATAAAAGTTAATCCCTAAGATAATTTTAACAATGTCCTAAGAGTGGCAGTTGTGACTGTCATGACTGGGTCACTCTTACTCTTACTTCCTCCTGTGCTCCCAACTAAGCGTGGATCAAAGATGGTCAAACCAGCTGTGCGTGCAGACAGTCTTCATTTTCCCTTTTGGTTCTGTCTCAAGTGACTAGCAAGTCTGCATCATTCATGATTCAATCTGCGAACCAGTGAACTGAACAAAGGAGACAGAGCTCTGACTTTGTATGGGAGGACGGGAGGTGACCAAGAGAAGGACGGTTTCAAGAGACTGTCCGTCAGGCTACTGACCTTCAGGGAAAACAAATTTACACATCAACTTAAGCAGAGAGAATTGCCAAAGGAAATATGTCGGCATATATGTGTGTGGGTATTATGCATACATGTGTGCACACAGTCTATGTTCAAAGCAAATATATATGGTTGCATTAGCTGAAATTAATGAAAATTTTTTGTGTAAACTCATATTCAGTGGAGGCTGTATTATCTGTAGCTTCACCAACTGAAAAGCTCTTTTAAAAGGAATTTCTATATACTCTAGATATTCAGTCCAGTAATAGTAATAGATTTATAGTGATTGATAATTCATGTTTTCCAGGTGGCATACATTTTATTCTGGAAATACTCCAAGTGAATGGAATGACAGCAGTTTATAGAAGTGAAAAATTATACTTTACAAAGTCCTGGCAGGCAATAATCTATCTCCTTTACCCTATCCTTTGTCCTCTTAACCCCCACAAAACAGAAACTGTCCAAAACCAAAATAATAAAATAGTAAATAACTCTATTTAACCAGAACGATTGATTTTAAAGAATCCCCTATAGCTTTTGCATAATTGTTGTTAAAAATGTATTAATTCCTTACATAAGTCACTGTCATAAGTAATGAATCATTCTACCTTCTTCAGTCATATACTTGATCAGTTCTTCCTTAGTAAGAAACCCACGTTTAGCTGGATCTAAAACCTAGGGGAAAAGAAAAGGTACATGTTATATTTTTAGTTTGGTATTTAAATTCTACATAATGAATTTTTCATATAACTATATATATAAATAAGGTGGAATTTACATACCTCAAAAGCTCGAAGAATGACATCTTCTGAAACTGGCCTGTATCTATAATTACACAATTAAATGAATAAATGCCAGAGCATTTATTTCAGTCTCTACATAACAAATGATGACATAAAACAAAATAAAAGCTGCTACCATGCTGGGATAACAATACTTCCCCCACAGAAATCACTGGATTTCTGGATATGAAGGTTGAAAGTACCTCACCTCCACAGGAAATATTTAGTGCAAAATCACTAGCATGTGTGATGTTATCTATTAGCTTTTTGGAAATCAATTTATCTGGCAACAAAACATCTACAATAAACCGACTATGGGGACCTAATGCTACACTTTTGCTAGAAGAATAATTAGAATTAATTCTTATTTATTATCAATAATTCAAAACAGAAGGTAATAAGAATGCTGTTGACGTATGATCTTTGTGGCTTTACTTAGGTTGATACTAATGTGGTTGATATTTCTAAGTACATATCAACTGGCAGTTCAGACGGATACTAAAATGTTAGAAGGAAGCTTGCCCTGAGATATATTGGTTGAGTATAATATACAAAGTAAAAAAGCCAAGTGTGTTGAAATTAATGTAGTAGGATTGTGACTTTGCCTTAACGATTTCATTTACTTACTTACCTTTTTTCCAGTAGTACTTTGGTCATTACTGGAAGAAATTTTTCATATCGAATGTATCCAGTGGGTTCTTCTTCCTCTACCTACACATTCAATAAAGAAATAGCCATTTATTCATTCAACAAACATATGAGGGTATTTCAAAAAATTCGTGGAAAGATTCGTATTATCTTTTCATTCTATTTTTGCACGGACTTTTTGAAGTGCCCTCGTATTCAGCACATACTTTTTCCAAGCACTGTGCCACTGCTGAGGATTTGATAATGAGCATACTTGAGCATGATCTGTGCTCATAGAGCTTATATTCTGGTAGGGGAAACATATATTAATCAAGAAACAACCAAGTGGAGAGTCTAATTATAAATTTATGGAAGCTCAATGAAGTAAAGGCATATGGGTGTTATGTGCCATAACATAGGAAACTTTTCTAGACCAGATCAGGGAAGTCACTCACTTGAGCTGATTTATAAAGGATACGTAGAAGGGAACGTGACACAGACAGCAGGGAAAAGCCTCCCACGTAGAGGAAATTACATGCATGGAGACTCCATGGTGACACTTTAGAGGTCATGAGCAAGGTGGAGAATGTCTCAAGATGAGGCTAGACAGAGAGACAGGGACCAGACCTTGCAGGGCCTTGTCGTCATGAAAGTGATTTTGTTGTTATCCTCAGAACAATGGGAAATCACTGAAGGTCTTACAGAAGGGTTTTGAAAGATCACACTGGTCGAGGGTGAGGCAGATTCTTCGGCAATCTAAGCAGATATTACAAGGTCTTGGATTGGAGGGGAGACCATGGAGAGAGAAGTGGATGGTTTCAAGAAATATTTAAGAAGTAAAATTGATAGGACCTGTGCTACATCCATTCTGACTGGCACAAATGGGATGAGGGATGCCTTTCCTGAGATGAGGAGCACTGAATGAGGACCAGGAGAGGAGACTGATCACTGTCTCAAGGACCAAACTACACCTAAAGTCACTGCAATATTTATTAAACACCTACATGGTAAATGCAACTTTGTTATACCACCACTAAATTAAAAGAACACAGAGAAAAGGAATTTTGGGTACCTAGCACTATTCAACGAGAATGAAACAGATCCTTGCCCAAGGGTTCAACTTTGATGGAGTGGCTGAGCAAAACAGTATGGATCTTAACTTTCTCATCAGGGTATTTATGAGGCTGTAAATTTTCCACTCCTTTTCAAAAATCCTATTAAAAGGCTCATAGATCCCAGCTCAACAGATGAGTTTTTAACAGATTTATTCTTTGAGCAAAAAATAAGAAATCTATAGGCTGCTGCTAAATGGAACACACTGCCACCCAAATGACAACTATTTTTTACTGTTTATACTGAATTCATACTTAGTGTGAGTAAAGCCCTCAGACTCTACTATCAGCAGAAAATTTAATCCAGCTAATGACAGAATGATATGCTGCAGAATTTCTGGGCCCATCCATACATGAGCAATTGTCTACAGCTGACTCCAGGCCCAAAGTGAGCATTTTGCAAACTAATGTTCATATGGTTCTGTTGTGCCTGAGTGGTACTCTGTAACTCCCAGCCCCAGGAGCCCCTTAAAAATAAAATGTCAATCTCATGAGATTACCTGCAGAGCGATAATTTAAAATTAAAATGTTGAGTTTCTATTCTGATTACTCCAGAAATCTGCTCTACAAGCTAGAGCAATGATCTGCTTTCTTTCCCCCACTCCTGACAAACCACTATACAACAGAGATTGGAACCCCTCTATCTTACGACATCCTCAGCAATCTACAAACTGTTTTTAGTTTTCCCAAAGGATTTTCAATTCTGTAACTGTCTCTCCATCACGTGAGAACTCACAAGTGACACATGATTGCTTCTCCGTGGTGAAAACTCTGCAGATCATTCTTGCCTAACAGGTCTTTGTGGAGCCAAAATTGCACAAAAAGAATAGGTTAAAACAAGATCTCCATCTAATCGGAATAGCAGAAGAGGCATAAATTTTCCTTGGCTTTTTAAAGAGGGATAATAAATAGGAGGCCTTGTGGTTAAAAAGTAAGAAGAAACACGGTAAGTCCATCTTCAGCTTAGAAACTGTAAAAATCTTTCTATGACCCAACACTGTCCTCTAGAGGCCATATCTAATCTGTTCCTTTGCACAAAAAGATGCACAGTATAAGCAATGAGATTAAAAACAATATAAGTCGGCTTGCCGGTGAGCTCAGTTGGTTAGAGTGTGGTGTCATAACATCAAGGTCTAAGGGTTCGGATCACCGTACCGGCCTGCTGCGAAAAACAAAACAAAAACCAAGTATATGATAATTCTAAATACAGCATTCGTGGAATGTTTAATATTCTCAGACACCACTATATTATAAAAGGTTCTTCATATTTAAATAACCTTTTTATTTTAGAATAGTTTTAGATTTACAGAAAAGTGTGAAGATACTACAAAAAGTTCCCCTATACTCCCCACCCAGTTTCCCCTATTGTTTTTTTCTTTTTTCCCAGATTTATTGAGGTATGATCAGCCAATAAAAATTTATATATTTAAGGTGTACAACGTGATGGTTTGATATACACACACTTTGTGAAAGGATCGTTACAATCAAGCCCATTAACATATCCCTCGCCCTGCTGAGTTACCTTTGTCAGGGGTGGGGGTGGAGAACACTCAGGGTCTACTCTATTAGCAAATTTCAAGTTTAGAACAGATCATTATTAACTATAGTCACCATGCTGTCTGTATTAGGTCTTCAGAAATTATTCATCTTATAACTTAACAGTGTGTACCCTTTAACCAACATCTGCCCATTTCCCCCACCCCTGTAATCACCCTTCTATTCTCTGTGCTGATTTTACATATAAGGGAGATCATGCAGTATTCGTCTTTCTGTGTCAGGCTTATTTCACTTAGCATAATGTCCTACAGATTCATCCTTTTGTCCCAAATGGCAGGAAGTCCATCTTTTTTAGGGCTGAATAATATTCCATCATGGATATAGATTGCATTTTCTTTATCCAATTCATCTGTCAATAGACAATTAAGTTGCTTCAGTATCTTGGCTATTGTGACTAATGCTGCACGAACATGGTAATGTAGATAACTATGAGATTCTGATTTCATTTCCTTGGGATATATACCCAGCAGCAGGATTGCTGGATCATATATTCTATTTTTAGTTTATTGAGGAACCTCCATACTGTTTTCCATAATGGTTATACCAATTTACCTTCCCACCCACAGTATCTAAGACTTTCCTTTTCTCCACATCTTCACCAATGCGTATTATCTCTTGACTTCAATAATAGCCATTCTCAGAGGTGTGAAGGGATATCTCATTGTGGTTTTGGTTTGCATTTCCCTAATGATTAGTGATGTTAAGCACCTTTTCATACACCTGTTGGCCATTTGTGTATCTTCTTTGGAAAAATGACTACTCAGGTCCTTTGCCCATCTTTTAATTGGGTTATTTGTTGTTTTGTTTTGTTTTGTTTGCAATTGACTTGTATGCATTCCTTATACATTTAGGATATTAACCCCTTATCAGATGTATGATTTGCAAATATTTTCTCTCATTCCACAGGCTGCCTTTTCATTTTTTATTGTTTCCTTTGCTGTGCAGAAACATTTTTATTTGATGTGGTCCCATTTATATTTGCTTTTGTTGTCTGTGTTTTGGGTGTCATATACAAAAAATCATTGCCAAGACCATGTCAAGCAGTTTTTCCCTGGTTTCTTCTAGTTTTATGGTTTCAGGTCTTACATTTAAATCTTTTTTTTTTTTTTTTTTTGTCTTTTGACTTTTTCCGTGTCCGGCAATGGATCGCAACCCTCAGTGTTGCCCCCGTACCGGACCGGGGACCGGCAATGGGATTGCAACCCTCGGCGTTGCTCCCGCGCCTCGCTCAGCCAGTGAGCGGGAACCGGTCCGTATGTGGGATCCGAACCCTCGGGCGGGAGCGCTGCCGCGCTTCCCAAGCGGCACACTATCCAGTGCGCCACTGGGCCGGCCCACATTTAAATCTTTAATCCAGTTTGAGTTGACTTTTTTATATGATGTGAGGTAAGGGTCCAATTCTATTCTTTCCTATACAGATATCAGTTTTCCTAACGCCTTTTACTGAAGAGACTGTCCTTTTCCCATTGTGTATTCTTGGTGCTCTTGTCAAAGATCAGTTGACTATCTATGCATGGGTTTATTTCTAGGATTTCTACTCTGTTCCAATGGTCTATATGTCTGTTTTTATGCCAGTACCATACTGTTCTGATTACTATCGATTTGTAATATAATTTGTAATTTATTTTATAATGGAATTCTTCTACTAACTCTTACATCACTATGCTATACTTTTCACAACTAACAAACCCATATTAAAACATTATTATTCACAGAACTCCAAACTTTATTTGGATTTCATTAGTTTTTCTAAAATGCACTTTTAAAACATGATATATCCCGCTGTCATAAAAGAAACAAGAAGTACAGGGTAGAATACCACTTCTTGGAATTTGGAAACAGGGGTAAGGATAGGGGAGGATAGGAGGTATCATTTCTGGTGCAGGACAAGCTAGTTAACTTTGTGAGCCCATCAGTAAGATAGAATAAAAACACTACCTTCTAGAAATCTATACAATGATGCCTCAATGATTATTTAAATCCATAGATTAATATGTCCTTAAGACTTAGTAAAAATATATCAAATATTGAACCACAGTTTATTATACATAGAGAGAAACAGACAGAGTGTTATGGGTTGTGTCCTCCCCAAGGTTTATATGTTTAAGCCCTAACCCTGAGTACATCAGAATGTGACCCTGTTTAGAGACAGGGTATTTACAGAGGTAATCAAGTTAAAATGAAGTTATTAGGTTGGGCCTAAATCAATAGTTTGGATGCGTTGTCCCCTCCAAAACTCATGTGGAAATTTGATCTCCAATGTGGCAGTGTTGGAAACTGATTGAATCACGGGGGTGGATCCCTCATGAATGGATTAATGCTCTCCCAAGATGGGTGGAGTAATGAGTGAGTTCTCACTCAGTTCCCATGAGAGCTGATTGTTTATAGGACCCTGGCACCTCCTCTCTCTCTTGC